CTCTAAAGTTATTCATGCGGTTACTTCAAAAGTAATCACTTTTACTAAGAAATGCTACTGGATATCGCCAGGACTTGAAATCTGAATCGTTCGATTCTAACGTCGCTGATGCTGGTACCCCTGATTGTGATGAGGACAGAGATGGCCAGGCTGCCGGAGTGCGCGAGAGTTTGCAAGAGAGAGAACTGACAACAAAGGGGGAAAAAAACGACTGGGAAGAGCGGCGCGCGCAAGCTCTCTCGCCCTTCCTCCTTCCTTCATTGCTTTGAGCCTTTCTCACCCTCGTTTTTTTTTTCATCCGTTTTCAAGCAGCAGCTCGCGCCCCCCCCCCCCTCTTCCCACCACATCGACACGCGAAACTATTGTAGACTGTGGAGTCTAAAGGAACGCAGGGAGGCAGCTCAAGGCTCGCGTACACTTTTTTTTTTATTGTGTGTGTTCTCTTTCCTTCATTCTTCACTCGGTAGCAATAGTTTACTTTCCATCTCGTACCGAGCCTTGGGTCGTGAGCTGTGCCCCCAAGGTGTGAGTGAGGAAGATAATGACCGAGCGTCCAGCGAGCCTAACGATTTTTTGTCTCAGAAAAAAATAACACCGGTCGTCCAGGGGCTCTCCAGTTATTTCCAACGCCAAATCATTAGGCCGTCTGGCTAGTGAAAAGTGTTGTTTTCTCACAGGAGCTTCACCTCAATTGATTTCAATTCTCAACGATAGTGTACCCTTGTCACATAAATTCAATGCTGGGTACTTTTCCGTGTGGAAGTTATAGCTGATTTGAATGCACATATCTTCAACGTTGAAGGTTGTTTCCAATAATTGGATACCGTATAATTTGTGTTCCCTTTCCGTTTGATTCAAATAACTCTTGGATTACCTGTTTTGTTGTTGTTGTTTTTTTCAATCTATTGTGAATATTAATTGACAATAGATTAAACAGTGGATGTTTGTTAGTTGATTATTCTGTTCGGAGAATAAAAATTATAAAGGGTATAATTTTGTTTGTGTGGTAATAAATTCACTACAGATAAAAAAAAATCTACCTGGCAATGAGGTTGGAAGGTAATATATCTATGTCATGTGTAATGACTTAGCCGAACTTAGCTCAATTCTTCAACTTCGGAGTGTTATCGTTCATAACCATGATGCTCACTGACCTACTGGCTCTGGCCAGTCGGACTTTTGCCTGGTTGCTGATTGCTACACTCCTGCTTGTAGGAAGCTCCTCAGGCTCAGAGAAGTGCACCTACGATGATGCCCACACCATTGCCAACTGCAGCAACAGCAATTTAACAGACATTCCTTGGAGGCTCCATAAGAGAATCTTGATTTTAGATCTGAGTGGAAACTATTTCCCAGTGCTCAAGTCAAGAAGCTTCATTAGTTTTAACTACATAAGTCACCTGTTCCTAAAAAACAACTCCATGCAATCTCTAGAAGATGAAGCACTCCAGGATATGACATACCTCAGCCTTCTTGACCTATCCAACAACCATCTCAGCCAGGTCCCAACATCTGCTCTGAAAAGTGTGTCCCTTTCCCTTACTCAGCTTTACTTATCTGGAAATAGAATCCAGGTCATCCACAAAGGAGCTTTTAAAGACCTCAAAAATCTAAAGATATTGGAACTTAATGGTAACAGTATTACTCGAATAGACATGGGAGGTCTGTCTGGACTATCATCTCTTAATGTACTGAAGTTGCGTCATAATGCCCTGTACACTTTGCCACCTGATGTTTTCAAAGAGTTTAGCTCAACGATTAAGATAATTCAGCTGTATGACAATCGTTGGATGTGCGATTGTAACATGCGATGGCTTAGGACATGGCTCGATAACACCAACCAAGAGGTATGGAAGGCTGAGGGTTACTTTATCCGTTGTGATGGGCCATCCATAGTGAAAGACAAGCCCCTGGACTCTCTCCCAATGGACGAACTGGCCTGTGAGGTCAAAATGAAGTCCAGCAGCTCTACAGAAAACCTTAAACAGGGGGACAACTCCACATTGGTGTGCAAATACACATCTGTACCTGATGCTGACACCAAGTGGTTGAAAAATTCAGAAGTCATTGAGCCATCAAAAGACCCCAATAAATACAACATCTCTACAAATATAACAGAAAGGAATCAAGAAATAATCCACACAAGCATGCTAACTATTTTTAACTTTCAATACAGCGATATTGCAAGGTATCAATGTTTTGTTCAGAACATACTTGGTGCCCACAGGACAGAGTATACTGTGACTTTAGAGGGGGTAAACATCAATAGCATCACTCCAGAGCCACCAGGGAGCTTCAAGTCCAGTCCTGGAGTGGACACAAAAAGTATCGTTATAGCTGTAGCAGTGGTGTGTGGGATCATCCTCTTTGTTGTCATTGGCATTCTCATTTTCTGCACGGTCAACCGAATACAGAGGAGGAAGATGGACAAACAGAATCAAATAGCAGAGAACCTTAAACAACATTTCATGAACAACAGGTAAGATGATTAGCAAATATTTACCTATGTAGGGATTGATGGTAGTAATCTTTACATTCTGATCATACCTTGTGGACTTGTCTATGGAGTCCCTAATGTGTCAAATATACTTAAAAACTGTATATATGCCCAAATCAAATATCATTAAACATTGCAAACATTTCTTAAACAATGTACATTCTGCCTTGATACTGACTTATTTTAATTTTCTTCCCCAGCGAGATAAGCAATGGGGACATTGCAGGTCAAAATGAAACAAAGCTGAGCAACAAACTAACTGAGGACAAGCTGGATGGAAACCAGGAGGATGACCGCTCAACCTCTAACAACACCAATGACTCAACCATGACCGCAGTCAAACGCCCGCTGGACCTGGATGATAGAGAACCCTTGTACATCTTTCAACAGCCTGGCTCACCATTTAACAATGGAAACACATACGTCTCCTTTGGGAGTGAGCTGACTGACCCTGACATGATGCCACCTCAGCCACCACAATACTCCATTGCTTCGGCACCAAGGTATGAAAGCTCGCATGCTGGATCAGCGACTCCACTTTTAGACCGTTACACTCCCTCTGTTTATGACTCGAGTGAACCAGATTATGCTCAGTACCCTGTCTACGATTCAGTTACCAAATCCTTGCACCACCCAGTCAATGAGGGTATATATGGAGGCTCCTTAAGGATGGGAAGTACCAGTAGTTATGCCAGCACACCAATCCGAGACGGCAACAAGAGACTCAGCAGTTTCAACTATCCACCAAACATAAATGGCACTATGCCTATTGGCAGTACCAGGTCGATTGTGGCCCTAATGCCAAAATATGCTGACCAAAATGGGGATAGCAGCCCCAGGTCAGACTTCCACCGCTACACCCCGCAGACTAATGACTATAGAGACTACAGGGATATGCGTTACCCTGCCACAACACCCCCTCCACACCGCATGACCTACGCAACCCCAAAAAGTATGTCAGTTGGGAACTTAGGCTTTGCCCCAATATCTACAGGGCCTAGGAAACCCCCTCGCATGTTTCAGTCCAGGGAGTACATGGAGTTGACCCCACAAGAGTCGCATCTGGATTATATCACCTCTCCTGAAGCTCAACAATACAGTCAAAACTATGGCATAACACCAGGCACTCCAGTGTGATCAGACACAGTCTCCATTCATAGTACTTATACTACTAGGTACAGTTGTGTGAGTTGTTTTTAAAACCAATAACAATATATGTTGAATTCAATACAACAAAAAGTGATGTCAAAGTTCTGCACCACAACACCCATCAACATGGAAGTGTACTCTTCATCTTCCTCTATCCCAGAATCCTGATAGTTGGGGAAGTTGTGGTGCACCCAATGTTGAGGCAACGTCACACCTCTGTCTCAGCCCTCCTGCTGTTTTCAAATGGCCAAAAATTGTGACAGGTATATATTGTGAAATATTTATAAGAACACTTGTTGATACATGATGTTATTTGTTACTAAAACAAATTATGAAGACTTGTAAATTTAGCTTTAATACAAGATTGTTTTTTTTAATATGCTACTGTTTGAAAATGTTTATCTATTAGTTCTGCCATAGTTTTTATTTTTTTTGTAGCTGTACAACTTAATCTTGAAGCTTTCAAATATCAAGACTCTAAATTGAGATTATAAAAAGAATTTTATGTTAAAAAAAAAATACACAGATTGAGCTCAGTCTACTTAAGGGGGTACATGGCAATTCTAAATTGATATGAACATATGATTTTTTTATTTTTTTTTCATGCTTTAACTGTGTACCAACGCATCTAAAACAATTTATTTAATCCAAGACAAGAAATAACCTTATATATTGCCATTTGTTAATTACAGAGTTTGTATTTATAAGTGTGCTCTTCAGTTATAATTGATCAAGGTCAGCGGTTCTCAACCTTTTTAGCTCGGCGACCCTAATATGATAATACTAGGCAGCAATCACCAACCGTATTTATTTCGTTCATTGGCCTAGGCAGACCCTAAATGTGATTTTGCTAATGTTATAAAATATTATTTGATTTTGAATGTATATTTAACTGACATCCATGATGTATTTAAATAGCAAAAGCTTTTGTAATTTTAAGTGTAAAATAAATTTGTACTTAAATTACATTTAAAAAAAAAAGTTTATGTGCTTGTTACAACACTTAAGAAATTGTAGGACAAAAAAAAACAGCCTTCCAATGAAAAAATAGATGCTAAACCAATATTTCCAGCGGTCTTAGGGCGACCCTTGGCAAATGGTCATTCGACCCCTAAAGAAGTCGCGATCCACAGGTTGAGAACCCCTGATCTAGGTTCTCCTGAATGCACTATGAAAAAGTTTAGACTTAGTACTGTCCAGCATGACTTCCTTGATTTTGCAAGAAACATATCAGTTACACAAATAGTATTTTCTTTGCCCTCTTGTTATTTCTTCTCTTAGGTTTGGTGAGCAGGCTTTCACATCCCAGCTGGGTGAGAGGGAACCTGGCAATGTAATTGAAGCCATGAAACTAAAAAAAAATAAAAAAAAATCTTGCATTTTGAAACCCCCACAGACAAAAAAAACCTGGCCACATGCCAAAAAGGTTACCACTTCTGCTGTAAAAGATTTGTGTGCATTCCTTCCCTTTTGTTGCTAAAATATGTTTGATCAAGTCATCTTGTCACAAGGGTCCAACTAGACAGGCAACATTGTATAACATGTTTAAATGATTAATGAGTCATTTTTTGTCCATAGGCAGTATAATTCTACATTGTGTTGCAATAGTTATTTGACAATTGTATTTTTTAAACTAAAACCAACTGAAAATGTCTGGTCTTATTCTAATCAAGTAACCAACATCTAGTGAGTACATACATTGATTGTGTGTATGTGATAGCTTTTGTTTTCATTTCTCTTGTTTAGTTATTGAATGACTTTGCTACTAGATAATGTTATCCTGACATGTTTACAGAGATAAGAAAAACAAACTTAAGGTTTGAGTCTAGTAAATTACATTTATTATAAAGTATGGATGATTTGAGAAAGTAGAATAGCACTTGGTTCTATATTGTTTTAAAACAAATTTTTGCCTGTTATTTAGAGTACTTTATTGTACATGTTTTATTGTAAATTGAAACCTTTCAAATGATAACTCTTGAGCTACAGAATCGCCAATTATATGACAACATAGATGTAAGAAAGTTTAGGGGTACATGCTTACTGATGCAGTTTGATATGCTGATCATTTGTTTTTACATGAACTTTTCCCCCCCTCTCAGATGATGGTAAATAGTATTTTATTCCAGATAAAATCGAAGAAAATATATTAGATCAATCTTTTTTTTTTTGCTTCTTCATGTTGATTTTTATAATTTAATTAAAAAATATACATTATGACTTAAAAATGCAGAACACATTGTTTATGGTCTTGTGGCTATTGATTATGGTCATGTGACTATACTGTTGTATGAATGTGGGTCATTGATTGATGATCTTTACATGGGACCAAGATAAGCCCTAGAACAACTTTATGGTAATGAGGAAAAAATATTTTTTCTCATTTTCTGTTGTTTTTATTTATTCATAAATTATTTTAAATTGTGGTTGTTATTTTGTTGCACTAATTAAAATTGTCCCTGTACATTTATTGTGTAAGAAGAGAAATCTTCTAATAAAGTATGCTGTGCAAAGTGTGTGACTGGACAAGCCATGAATATTATGATTATCTATCTACCTTTGGAGATTTGTTTAAAGAGAATTCTGTTCATAATACTATTTTGTTATGTTTATAATGATTACAATGTTTATAACATGAGATTGTGACGTTTCTTACTTTGTTTCAATACATTGTGTTGGTCAGTGTTTAGAATTGAACAAGAGAGGTGACCTAGTTAATTTTATAGCAAACATTCACTTTAAGGCTTTCACTCAAATTTTTTGTTTCTTCTCTTGTGTTTTTGACACATTGCCTCTTCACTATCAAGTATCATGCAAGAGTCCAACCCAGATACAACTGCTAAAGAGCCCAGCCCTGCACACATCTTGCTTACACCATATCCCCTGCATGTTTAAGACTTTTCTACTGGCTTAAAAAAGTTATAACTTTGTGTGAAAATATAATTTGGGGCGGGGGCTGGGGGTGAGTTGTGCTTATAAAAAGGGAACTATAAAAATACATTGTTGGACAGGTACAAATGTTTGCACAGCCTGGATTGAGTCACACACACACAAACAATGACTTGGCACAGTTTAAGAAGAGAGTCCTTATAATCCTCTGTTCAAATCTCTACTTCATATGGGCGACAAAATGAACACTTGCGAACTAGTAAGAACGTAATAACATCTGTTTGAAGGGACGCCATCGAACGATAAGATAAGAAAGAAGCCAGTGAGATTTGCCGTTACTGTCTGCGTCTTGAAGATTAGCCACAAAATGAAGTCTTTTTATTTGTTGCCCTGGGCACATACAGGGTCTGCTTCTGGACGGACTGGACAAAGAGTGGTTTCAATTAGGCGGCTACTGTTCTGACATAGCCCTCTAATAAAAGACCGAGGCCGAGATTGGTGGGGGGGGGGGGGGGCATATTATTATGTCCTGAATTGGAAGAAAACTTACTTTCTAAATTGTCTTACTTTTGTATAAAGTATCTTGTTTGTAGCCCTGAAAAAGATTGCTACCGGTACTTGTAACATAATATCTGGCCACTGGTATATAAAAAATAATTATATAATACACAGTAGACACAAAACTTTTTTTTTACTACATTTTTAAAAGTTTTTTTTAAGGCTTTGAATAGGAGATTGGCCCAATACAAAACAATTAAATCAATAAGATAATCATTATATGAAATCAGGCCAGGTTCACATCTAGCTTCTCCTTCACTTTCACCTATCCCTTGGTCTGCTGGACCGTCGGGGCATCACACAAGATCAGTCAACCTTCTTTCTGCATTCTTCTCTGTCATTTGCCTTTTAACGAATTTCATTCTGATATTCTTTCTGAAAATATTGAAACCTGCTTTTTGTATCTGCTTGTGTGTACCACTTCGGGGGGCCGATTTTGAGTTTGTGTTTCCACACAAACTGTCTTTATAACCTTGTTTTATTTTAATCTATTTCGAAATGCACAAAAATATATATTTATTTTTATATCAGAACCCCAAGGAGCAATTATTGTATTCTAGTACAACATTTGCCCAGCATTTTGCCAATTATCGCCCAGTATTTTTAAACTTCAAAATGAAGTGAGAGTCTACATGAGAGGTCAGAGGTTATTCGAGGACCCTTTTGGTTTTCACTGAGCTCCACTTGCTATGCTGACCTCACAGCCCTTGCCAAAACTTTCTTGTTTGCCTGGTAATATTTGCTGGACTGGGTTGAATGGGCGGGTGTGGGGCTGGAGACTAAGACTTAAGTCCGAGGGTTACCTGAATAATTTTTTTTTTTAAAGTTGTATATAGAGCAAAGCGGAATATCGAAAAAAAAAAGGTCGCTTCAAGTACTAATTTATCCGTTTAAAGGTTACCCTGGTAAAAAAAAAAGCATGATATTTCATAAGTTCCATTACGTCCAAGGCACTAGAAAAGTTCTAGGGAGACAACGAGACACTAAAGATCAGAAATACTCAGAAAGACACAAACGCTCCATATACTAGGACAAATTTGTACAAATACTCCTTCTTCCCTGTTAGAGCATGGAATAGGCTGCCTGAGCTAGCCAGGAAAACCAATGACTTGGCAGAATTTAGGTCATTGGTTAATATGCGTGACGCGTAGGAAGTAATCATCTTTTTTTTTTAAGTAACGTCTGTATTATATAAGATAAGAGAATGTATTCACTGCACCATTTGTGTCCGTGCCAATGATGAGACAGGGACTTGGACAACGCAATCAATTATTCTAAAAATGTCTTTTTAAAAATTGCTTTCTGTCAAGCGTTATCCAAAGCTAGTATTAGCTGGAAGCGATTCCATTAGCTAACTTGATCTGCTCCAAGTGAGCTGTGTAGGTGATTACAAACAACACAGAAAATGAACAAAGGTGATTACAAACAACACAGAAAATGAACAAACTAAGTCTCTTGCAGTCACGTGACAGCACAGACCAATGAAATTTTTTGCCGAATGCAGTGGGAGGAAAAAAAAAACCCACTAAGAAACCAAATCGTTCATAACTGGTGTTAAGATATACACTTAATGATTCGGGTCTTGCACTCGTGTAAAAGAGAACTCGCTTCCTAAATTTTCTAGATCTATAGTTATTTCAGCAATGAGCGTAGTCCTTCGTTGGTCGACAGACTGAGAAGATAGCTTGAATAAGTAAAGGCAAAAAGAGGGAGGGGAGACCAATGCCACCAAGGTAGTAGGGGGGGGGGGGGAAGCTCTCTTGTATTTGTTCTAGTCCTTTCTTTCCTTTTCTATTGAGTCTAAAGTTGTAAGATTTGTATTTCTGTGGACACGCAATTGTGCAAGCCATGTGGTACAGCGAGTGTCGACCTAGATGAGAAGTACAAGTTGATTCATCAACTCAATGTGGATACATGTGATCAACTAACTAACCAACTAGTGTTGTACTCCGAGACACTGTCTAGTCAAGCCAGTGGCCATTGAGAAAGAATTGTCTACTAGCGCCACTTACAAACGTAACTATAATTTTATCTGGACAATGAAATAAAAAATAAAAAAACAAGAATATTTACAATGGGAATGTTTGAAACAGCCCTACAGTCGAGACAAAGTTTTTAACAACAACACGAGTCTGTATAATGCAACAACAGATCTCGTCGATAGTCAAAACAGTTTTGTCACAATAAAACGTCCTTAGCTTCTGCTCAAAATGCCGCAGTTAATTCAGTAATCTAAACACAATTCAAATGTCTACAACTTAAAACCTGTTATTTTCAACTATCCCCCTGATCGTACCAACAGTGGACTCTGGCGATAGCTTGTTACCAGAACTATCCTATTTAGCTCTAATCCATGTCGAGAGATGTTATCGCTTAATGAGTTTGGAATCGTGTTACACACATGAAGCTAAAACTTGATTGGTATCAGGTGGTTGTGTGATGTGCACTTGCCTGAACAGATCAAACTGATAAAGTCACACCCAAAGTGCTGCGAAAGTGATTAACTTTTTCTATCCGAACTGACGATACCAACGTTGATTCCACCAGAATGTGGTAAATAATTACGGAGAGAAAGAGTTAAGGTTTTGCGGGTGAAGATATGCTGCTCGTCTTAGATGAAACGAACACGTTTCACATCGAGGTTGCGCACTTTTGTAGATTGCGTGTGTTTAAACGGTGCAAGGGTGCGCGAACGGCTTGATGGTGGCGACGAAAAGAAATGACGTCATAGAAACAGGGGATAATCACGTGATGTTCACATTCGCGAATAGTTGATAAGGATTACTGCACAAAAGATTGCGGACTTTAAATTTTCAAGATCTAGAAACAATATTCAAAACAACTTATCATTTATCGACAAATTATCAACATTGGTTAAATTTCACTAAGCTGTTGAACCTGGACATTAAAATCGTATATAGTAGTCAAGCAGGGCATGTATTCGGAGAGTATTGCGACTTTCTCGGCCAGACTAGAAGGTGTAGTCTCTAGCTATTGAAATGACTTGCCCATGGAATTTTTACTCGATCAAAAAACTTGTTAAGTGCGTATGATTCCTTCAGTCTAGTGACTAGTCAGTAGCTGGGCAGACCAGGAATATTCCATTGTGATTCCCACGAGTCAATTTTGAATTGCCATGGGCCATGGGACGGAACCAGTCTAAAAATAGTCGTTTCATTTTACGGAGATGGGGGGGGGGGAGATGGAGTGAGTATAGGCTACAGAAGTTTTGGGTGACTTAAAACTGTTGTTTTTAGGTAAACTAGAATACGTATGAGTATAATGGAGAATACATTAGATCTCGATAAAAAGGATACGGTAGTTCAAGATGTGACAAATTTCAAACACCAAATGTCTAACTTCATAGTAGCAGTTATATGAGATCACACAACTACACAGAAGGCAGATGGACAGGATAATGACACACTACGCAGGGGGCACGTCAGACTTTTCAGGCACACTAGGCAGTAACAAAACAAAAAGACACAATATGCAGGGCATACCAGACTTACAGACACACTAGGCAGAGGCAGACCAAAAATGCAGTAAATAACAAACAAAACATTGACTATATATATATATATATATATATATATATATATATATATAGGATCAACTATATGGTGGCTGAGCGGTAAAGCGCTTGGCTTCCGAACCGGAAACCGGATTTCGAATCCTGGTGAAGATTGGGATTTTTAATTTCGGGATCTTCGGGCGCCTCTGAGTCCACCAAGCTCTAATGGGTACCTGACATTAGTTGGGGAAAAGTAAAGGCGGTTGGTCGTTGTGCTGGCCGGCCACATGACACCTTCGTTAACCGTAGGCCACAGAAACAGATGTTCTTTACATCATCTGCCCTATAGACCACAAGGTCTGAAAGGGGAACTTTACTATATATATATATATATGAATGTATGTATGTACCGGTATATATATATGTGTGTGTGTGTGTATTTACATACGTATATTAAAGAACTCATATAACGACTTCCTATTTGCTTTGAAATTCTGTATTACCTAAAGCCACGGAGAACAGCATATCTTTGATGTCATTCCATTACACCTAACGACCTCGAAGGTAACATTAAACCTCACGTGAAAAGGTCAATACACCCAATTCTCTCATTTGTTGTGTGTGGGGTGGGGGGTTTCCTTCATCATTCCAATTCCTCCAAATGAACTCGACATCTT